AATTTGAAGGAGAAGCCACCCGCGGCGGGTGCTGGTGCTGGTGAAATCTAATGAAAATGTGCGAGTATTTTTAATTAGAAAACAATTAGATTGAAATAAATTAAACGAATCGCTGGGCGCAGGCAATCGATGAGGCAGCTAACAAAAATAAACACGAAAGCGCAGCGGCAGCAGCAACAACAACAAGAGTATTATGCCAGCGAAATTTGTGCCAGAGAAAATAAAACTTAAACAACATTGGGAGGGGGACAACAACAACAACAACAACAACAACATTAAACTGCTCGCACATAAGAAACGCGACTGCAACAATTAAAGAAAAATAAAAAGTGTTATTGCAAAAAATAAGTAAGAAACTATACAAATAAGCAAAAACATATATATGAAATTAATTTAATTGCCACTCTAGACGAAAAGACTTGCATTTTTTGCATGCCTCGGGGCCATTTATTTGGCCCGGCGGGAGACAAGCAGTTAAAAGCAGACATGCAACAATATTGAAAACCACTCGCAAAATGAGAACTTTTCTCCGTATTTCTTTGCAGAAAACAAAAAAAAAACGCTTTAATAATTGAAGAGCTGTTCGATATTTTATTTGTCTCGCTTTTGGCCAAATGAATTATTCAGTTCGCACATTTCGCTAGCGATTTGCTTTGCTCTAGCCCAAAGGGCGGGCAATTAGGGCGCTCAATCAACCAAACTTAAAAAAAAAAACAAACAAAGTTAAAGTTTGCAAAACAATCAAAAACAGTCTGCAACAGCAACTAAAACAAAGAAAACACGCTACAAATTTTCTAAATACGGGGCTTACGCGACTTATCGATACCCTGGCCTGCAGTTAATACACTCTACATATTGGTCAGATATATGCAAAGCACACGCAAATATGTAAATATTTAATCAGAGAAAAAAACAAAATGTTTTTGCTGAGACAGAGGCCAAGTATACCCTGTTTGATAGAGTGCAGCTGAGTATAGAGTTTTTTGGCATAAATTAAATTTTAGTATTTCCTGATAACATTTTACTTCCATCGATTCGGCTTGTTACATACCTATCGAAAAGTCGTCTATGCCCCTTTTAACCAATTTTAGGCCGTAGAGTAGAACTTAAAACAAATACCAGGTACAACTTATGGCTGCTTTTGACAATTGCCGCAAGTTACGAAAAAACTTTTAGAGTAAATAAATTATTTTCCATATAAATTATGAAACACAATTTTGTTAAGTGCAATTGAAAAACTTTCACGCTATTTGCAACAGCCCCGGGCAGAGTTATGGCCCAACTAACAGCTGCAGCAGCCGCCCCCGGGCAAGACTTTGTGCTCTGCACATGTCCTTTGAATAGGTAACAGAAAAAAACAACAACTATGAGTCGGGAGTCTAGTCGGGAGTGCCTGACTATGCAATATTGAATATACAGATCTGCAGTTAGAAATATTTCAGCCTCCTCACTTCCAGCTGCCCCACACTATGCAATATGCATTCTGCAACAACTTTGATGTTCTTTGCCCCTTTTTTTTTAAATATGCAGAGCCTGAATCGACCTTTAAAATGTGTCCATATACCAAAGCGCAAGACTACGCACTCAAGAATGGGTTATTTTGAACTTTTCGGGGGAATTGGACAAGGCTTCTAAAAAGTGAAATATTCATAGGCTGTGTATAAGGTTTAAAAAGTTAGATAAAAATTTTGGTGTAACAAGCTTTTCTATGATTTTATGATTAAGAAATCACAACTCAAAATCAATATTTATCGATATTATGAAAATGGGAAAAATTATGAAAATTAAAATAGTAAACTTGGTGTTCGAAGGAGCTAAGAAAATGTGTATTTTAAATTTCGACTAGACTGACGTATTTTGAGATAATTTTAACAACTTTTGAGAGTGTATAAAATAATTGAAATAAACATTGTTGTTGCGTTTGGTTAAGGTGTGGCCGATGCCCTGATTTAAGTGGATCCGGTTGTCGTATGGGCCTCAAGTCAAGGATCATTAAACTTAAGAGGCGCACGCACACACACACACACACACATGCACACCCACACACAGCTGACACAGTGGATTGTCGCAACATGGATTGGCATTGGATTACCACTTTCTGTGCACAATGGCAACGCCCGCAACAGCATGCCAGGCCGCGTCACTTTCCCTACCACGGCATTGGATGACGTGCCGAGCACGGTCACGGCCAGTGGACTGAACTGGACCGAATTGGACTGAAATGGACTGTGGAGTGGACTGTGGAGTGGACTGTGGCGTGGACTGGTGCCTGGACATTGTTGCGCTTTGGGGCAGCTGCGTCACTTTCTGGTTAAACGAAACGACGCCAACCGCCTCGCATTACTTGCGCTTTTGTGGCCAACACGTAGCCGGCTGGCATTGACCGTGAAGAGGACAATGGTGCGTAGATTTGGCATCGGGTTGCCGGCAGACAACAGACAGCAGACAGGCTGCAACTAGGCAATAGGCAAGTGGCAAGTGGCAAGTGGCAAGCGGCAACCTGTCATTGGATTCATTGGCCTGCCTGCCTGCTGCGTCTGGATTATGGCTATTATGTTGCACAGATAAATCAGCCAGCAGGTGGCCAGGTGCAAAACGGTGCCACAGAACGAACGGTTGAGGTCTGATTGCCATTGGCAAAGCCTTTAAATTATAGACAACAAGCGCCAAAAGCTGCGGCAATTATATCGAGCACTCGAGTTGGCCTGCGTGACTGGCAAAGTGAATTCGTGAATTAGCCAAATGCAAGATGCAGCGCAAGGTGCTGATGCCGCCTCACCCAGACGCTACCCCAAATCCAGCACTCGCAATCGCACTCGCCACATGTGCAACAGAATGTAACTGAGCCGCCGTTGAATGCGGTTCCAGCGGCTACTTATGAAAAACGAGAGCTAATCGCAGTTCGTTTCACTTTTCTTTTACTATTTATTATTTATTATTTATTTATATGTATCTTGGCAATTTTGTTACACTTGTTGACTGCTCCCAGCCAATTGAGGCGCCGAGGCGTGGCCACATCTTGCCGCTGCACCACCCCACCTCACCCTGCCCCACCAGCTGGCGCTGTCTTAATTGTCGGCGCTGGCTGTGTTTGCTTTTACTTTTGCCTGCAAAATTGTTTTCTGCAAAATTACTCGCAAATTAATGAGCAGAAAATGAACCACATTAGAGCACTGCCCGCTCGCTGTTGCCAGAGTGGGAGGGGCAGGGCTGGAGAGCAGCTATCGACACAGCAGGATGCCCTGCACATGTTTGCACATTTGTCGTGTTACCCGTAATTAGCGCAGCCCTTGAACCCTTGACAGTGCCAAACTCCAGCAGCGATCAAAGCGTCGCGTGCAACATGCGGCAAGAAAAGCGGCCAACAAAACGTCGTTCTGCAACTGATGCAGCAGCCGCACAGTGGAACAAAACGAAGCTCACAAAGTCAATTTATAACCAAGTTCGTTTAATGGCAAGCAGAAAAAATTTAAGCTATTAATAGATTACCTACTTACTTTTTATACCCTGTATCCTTTGGAGAAATGGGTACATGGTTTTGTGCGAATGTGTGTTACAGCCAGAAGGAGACATATTCAACCACATCAAGCATGCAGCATATATATATCTTTGATTAGTGCAACGAGCCATGCCAGTTTAAGGGAACGTGTGACTATTTTGTTATTAGTTATATTATTTTTAAATATATATTCAGTTTGATCGCTGAGTTTATATTGCTTAATTTTCAATAACTATTTTTATTGTGCGTTGAATTGAATCGTAGCTCTTTAACTTCAACTTTGACTTTCAATTGTTATTTTTACGCCCCATTGAGCATTTGTCAATTTCAATAAATATATAACGCTCAATTGTATTTTCCTTGTTTTATTTTTTCCTAATTAATTATATTTATTTATGATAATTTAAAAACAAATATTACAGCAAAGCTTATGAGTACTAATATATTAATGTATGATGATATTTTCATTATGTATTGAAATCAATCGAAATTCTTAAACCTTAACTATCAAAAACACGCATACGCCCCATTGCGTTTATTATAATTTTGATATATATATATTGTTTTTCATACTAATATTTTTTTAATTGTAACTTATTACATATTCAAATGATAATCATCATTTGGTTCTGTTTTCATTATGTATTGAACCCAATCAAAATTCCCAAACCTTAACTCTCAAATATCACGTATATGCCCCATTGCGTTTATTATAATTTTATGTTTACGTGTATACATTGTATATTGTTTTACATAATAATACTATTTTTTAATTGTAACTTATTAAGTATTATTCAAATAATTACTATTATTTGGTTATGTTTTCTATGTTATGTTATGTTAAATGTTATGTTTTCTAATCAAACGAAATTCTTAAGCTTTGAGTTTCAAATATTGCTCATACGCACCATTGCTCATTTTATTTATCTTGATTGATAAACAATATATGCAGTTTCTCAGATATTTTTCTTCTTCAGCTATGTAGTTATATTTTTATTTTGCTTTAAATGAAATTAATTAATATAACGCATACGCACTGTTGTACAAAAGGTAAGGTTTTGCCAAGTGTTGATGCGTCTTTGCCCCACGGTGCATGGCATGACTGTCTGCTGCAACTGAATGCCCGCTGAGCGATGGCCGTCACTCAGTTGGTTGTCTTGAAATCAAAACTGTGGCAAAGTGGCTCACAGCATAATATGCTTAGGCGTTGCTGCGATGCCGACGCCGCCGTCGCTGGTCCGTGGATGCTGCTGCCGCTGCTGCTGCTGCTGTTGCTGCTGCTTGGCTAAACAATAAAACTGAGTTGCATGCAACAGCAAGTAATTAGTCTTTATAGCGGCTTGTTGCAACGCGCTGCAGCAACTGCCAACTACATTGAAGAACATCCATATGAAGGATACGCCGCGTGCTCGTGTTCGTCCTAATCCTGTGCTGTGTTGTGCCGTGTAGTGTGTGTTGCTCCTACCGTACTGTGCTCGACAAAAATAAAAACAAAAATATAAAGAAAGAAGAACAAGGCTCGCCCTATCAATAAATCAACATCAACATGCTGCAGTACATCGCTGCCAGCTGCGCGTTGCTGGCGCTTCTGTGCGCGCCGCCCAACTCGGCGGCAATCCACAAACGCAGCGGCGCCAGGGCGGCCAATGCGCTGGGCACCGAAGCGGAAGCGACGCCCACGACGCGTGCGGAGAACACGGATCTGCTGGATAAGCTGAGCTGGAAGTGCGCCAACAATGCCAGCTGCCTGCACAGCGTCGCCAATGGCATCGCGGCCTCCTATCGCCGCGGCGAGACCATTAAGCTGGGCCTGTTCGATCTGGTGCGGCTGCCGCCGCTGGACGAGGCGCACAGGCACAAGTGGGGCACCGGCCGTGCTCTATCCAGCTTCATGGACTTTGTCAGCGGCAATGCGATACGCGTGCCCGTCGGGCCCATGGTGTTCAGTGTGCAGCGGGCCGAGGACGACAGCGATTACATTGAAGTGGCGCTGCTGAAGAAGGCGTCGAGTGGCACAGGTAATGGCAATGGCCACGGTTGCCTGATTGATCAGCGCCTAATTGGCTGGCCGTGCGGTCACTTAATCCCAATCAGAGCCCCAACCATATGCTGTCCAATTGGAGTACATTTCGAGTAGTTGTTATGCGAGCCGCATTCGGCTGCCCGTTGACCTAATGCTTGTAGCTCCGGGGGCAACATATGTCGCAGGCCTAACCTTGGCAGGACCTCTGGCGCATATAAATGGCCGGAGGCGGCAGTAGGCATAGTTGGCATTATTTATATTCATTAGGTGTGACGCTCGTTGCGCAAACGATGCTGTTGAAAACATCAATCATATCACGAAGCACAAATCCAATCCAGTCCAAACTACTTTTGCCACCCAGCCTCACTCCCACCACTCCCACCTCCACACATCCGGCAATATTAAAGCCATAAAGCTTAAAACGTGTCCTGTTTCCACAAATACACAACAGGACGCCTGCAGGGCAACGGCGGCGGCGGCGGCGGACTCCTGGGTGGCGGCAACGGCGGCGGCGGAGGCGGACTTTTGGGTGGCATCGGTGGCGGCGACGGCGGCGGCGGTGGCCTGATGGGCGGACGTCGTCGTCAGCAGCATCAGGACAAGAAACAGTTCCAAATGTATATACCCATGTATCTGGCAGCGACAACCTTTGGCTGGACCATGGTGGCCGCCAAGGCGGTGGGTCTGCTGACCCTCAAGGCGCTCATCCTCTCCAAAATAGCCTTCGTCGTGGCCGCCATTGTGCTGATCAAGAAGCTAATGGACAATGCCGGCGAAAAGTGAGTCGCTCAGCAACCTGCGCGAGTCCGTCCAACCTAATCGCCCCTTTGCAGAATGATGTACCAGTATCCGGAGCACACGCCCTACATGATGCCCTACGGCATGGACTATCCGATGCATGCTGCGGAGCTGTCGCCAGACATGTTCCCCGGCGCACTGCATCAGCTGGCCATGGCCGGCGGCGGACAGATGCCGCATCCCGGCCATCCCGGACTGGAGAGCATGGCCGCCGAAAGTCATCTGCAGTCGCAGGTCTCAAGCGATGGCAGCAACAATACCAACCCGCTGGCCGCGCTCGGCGCCTACGGCGGACTAGGCCACAAGATCAAACGTGAGGACTCTTGGATAGCGAAGAGTAAGTGCATTCTGTGCGGCGCCATAAAACAGCCTTACCCTTGTTTCAGATAGCCCAATTAATGTGGCCAGAGCGCTTTGGTAGATCGCCAGCCCAACGCTGGCGCAGACCTGGCCAGCTCTCTGCCCAGATGCTCGCCGTGGCCGCGGTCGTGGCCGAGGCCAGCGTTGAGGCTGACTATGAGGACGATTACTGAGTAGTGTATATACCCTAGAATTGTTTTGCTTTTGCACGGGCTTGGCTCCGAACAGGTGTATAAGATACTTCATTCTCATATAGCTAAGCTGAGCACCGCACTCTGAACGGCAAAGGAAAAGGTGAATGAACACTTGAAACATTCTCATAATTCCAACGTTTATTTTTTTTATACCCAAAACCAATTGAAAAGGTTTACATAAGTGTAAAATGTAAAAGGTTTACAAGCAGGATCTAGTCATGTCCGTCCATCTGTCTGTCATCATAGACTAGATAGAGCTCCGAATCGATCCGAATCGATAAAAATCGATTTTGAAATACTGTGTTTGAGCATTTCTCGAAACTCATAAGAGTTATGCACTCCAAATTTGATATGTCTGCTCTTTTATAGTACATAAAAGTCCAATATATTTCACAATTCTAATTGTGTGGGGCTAAGAAGAGAAGATGCTCAGTTGAGGCTTAAAAAGCGTGCTTCTGCTTGTGTGTAAAACAGTTGCAAGGGCAACTTGACGCTAGGCTTAGAGTATGTTCTAGTCGAGTACTCCCGACTAGAGCAGCCTTAGCTATTCAAATAATATTAGCTTTGGCTAAGACAATGCTTCATCCTAGAATTGGATCTCCCATCCTTATTGTTAAGTAGCCCAACTGACTGAGTTAATTTGACTGCTCCATTTACCAATCATTATTTTCCAATCTTTCACAAGTTTATGGATATATCATATCTGTATATACATATTTTTATATATTTTTACGGGAAAACACTTAGAAGCAGGCAGAGGAGCAGATGAGCATGGCAAGCTTTGCATTCCATGCTGATAAAATACATGGTCTTAAGGGACTGTAGATTGACTGCTTCAGTGTATTAGTAAATGTGTTGTAATACCTTTTGCTAGAATGGACAACGAGGGTGATATCTACCTTAAGGCTTTGATATTAGCGCTGTGAGCTGAGACGACAGTAAAGTGTCTCTAAGCTCAAGGCTGCAAGTCGGGTTTAAAACCAAAAAAATTCGATCCCGGAATATATTTCATATTTCGATTTAATTTATTTTGAACAAGAACCGAACCTTAAAACAAATCTGTTACCCAGATAAACTACTAAGCCGCAAGCCAACCCAATTATTATTCCAAACATGATTTGAATGAAAACTATAAACTTTTCAGGGAGACTCAGCTTTAAAGCAAAAACAACTTTTGGCTCAACTATTTGTTGTATCCAGCAAAAATTGTTAGATGCCAATTTTGGGTAGAAATTATTTTTGGGCAACTATAAATTTAATTGAATATAATTTTTGAAAAAAAACGGGCTGTTTTGAAGCGAAAGCTTTTGACTGAAACGTTCCCACTTTTAGTGTAGCTAGGGAAACTGGGACGCTATGTTGTCCCGCTTGTAATGCAATTTGAAATTAAAACCAGATTTAAGCAGATTTTGTCCAACAAGCAACAGACTAATTTTGAAAACATTTAATTACTTTCAACTAACTGTGAGCTGCACATTTGAAACTTTTTCATTGTCAACCCTGCCCCTTAGCCGTGTGTGTGTAGCCCCCCAACAAACTTGCAGTTTTGTGGCATGCCACAAAATTGAAATGTGCACCAACTGATGTTTTTTAGATCTCCCCATAAATGGTAAGCGGACAGGCTGCCTGGCAGAGCACGTTCCGAAAAGTTTTCTAAGCAGCTATTGCTGTGTGGTGGAAAAAGTTGGAGTTTTGCTTGAACTAGTATTTGGGCTTAAAGTCTATGCTGTTGCGACTTTACTACTACTTACTCCCACAGCAAAGCCGCAATTAAAAAGTGCACACACAAACACACACACACACACACTCACTTAGTTTCTCTGCAAATCGCTGCATACTTTGCGGCTGCACGTAAAGCAAGCGCACAAGCGGGCTATCAAAAGGCGAGGCGAAAAGTTATTTCTCTGATTGCAAACTTATTGCGTACTTTTGATGAACTATTATCAAAATCGAGGCTGGGCAGAGGAGAGGAGAGAGGAGAGTGTGGGCGTGGTTATTGATAAGTGCATTTGTTGCAGCCACGCCGGCAAGACGACCGCTTATCTACAACTATGTGCAACCGCAGATGCAGCTGCCCTTCTACCGCTCCTAGGGGCAAGGGATTTCATCGGAATCCAATAGCTAATTCGTGCAGCTTTGCAGCCCCTACCGCTACCAAAGACCGTTCCAGTGTGAAGAAGGAGGAGTTGGCGAGAAGCTGGAGGAGAGGAGGAGAAGGGAGGGAGGGAGGTACTGCTGCCATATGAACATCTGATGGGAGGAGGAACGAGGAGTGCTCTGAGCTGCTTATTAAAATAATTAACTTATTTATTTATTGCTATCTATGTTTATTTATTGAATTGAATTGTTCTTAGTTTAGAGAGACCTAACGCACACATTTAGCCTAGTGAAATATGCCTGAAATTAGCAAGAGAAAATGCTACAAAAACTGGACAAAAAAAATAAATAATATCAAAAAATAAAGTGGAGCACAAGTTGGCTCAAACGTTGTAATTGTGTGAATTTAACGTATTTTATTTAGTGTTGAATACATAATTAACGTGTATAAATAAGCAATAAATATAAATATAAATAAATAAAGTACAGTTAAAGCAAAGGAGAAGCAATTAAAAAGAAAATAAAAAGATTAAAAGAGAGAGTATCGTGAAAAAAGTGAAAACATAACTAAACTGAGGAAAACGTGGTCCGCCCCTCTGCGGGGGGCGTGTAAATGCAACATTCGTGAAGAGTTAATAAAAAACTTCGCATTTTTTTGGTAGTGCAATTATTTTTTCGTTTCTTGTTCATTCGTTTTATTGCGCCACCTTGCTGGGCTGCTGCGCATTGTAGGCCATGTCCTGTGCCTCCTGCGCCATTATGTGTGCCGGCACCTGGGCGAGGCCCTCGACAAAGCCGTCGAGGGCACGCGACCAGCCGGAACTGTAGCTGTCATGATGCGATGGCACCTCCACAATGGTCTTCTTCTGCGAGAGCAGCTTCTTCAGCGATATGATGACCGCCAGCAGCAGGGCAATTTTGGAGACAATCAGCGCCTTGCCGGCGAGCAGGAAGAGGCCCTTCAGCATAATGGCGCCCACCATGCCCGTCTTGGCGGCCATCATCATCAGCACCGGGCCCATGTTCTTCATTTTGCCGCGACCCTCCTCCAGCGCCTCGATGGGACGCACCGAGACGCCAATATTGAGGCTGCCCTGCGGCTCGCTGTGCACCACAAAGTCCGCGTTGTCCGAGAACTTGTAGCGCAGTGTACGCGAGCGCACGAATCGCCACAGCTTGTTGGCTATCAGCAGGCCGTAGGATTCCTCGTCCGAGTCCATGGCGCGGGCCAGCAGCAGCTCATCCTCGGCATCGTCGGCTACGTCGGGCATATCCCTAGCCAGGCCACATACATAAATAATACATCCAGCTGTGTGTTAAGAGCTCGTTGATATGTTCACTCACCTGTTGCGCGACACGCGGAAATTTTCGCTCAGATCGAAATTGGACTTCTTGAACAGGCGATCCAGAAAGACAATCGTCTTGAGCATGCTGCACGAATGATTGTCATTCTGGATGCACTTCTCGTTCAGCTTGATCATGATCTGCTCCTCGTTCCGGTTGCCATAATCTCCGTTTATCTGTGAATGGGCAGCAAGGCGATTAGCTAAGGGCTACAGCTTACAAGCAGCTGCTGCTGCCTGATAAAAAATAAAAATACATTTATTTTGAGTAATTTTTTTGTGGCGCGTGCAAACAAAGGTTGACAACATTTGGATGTGCTGCAGCCCCTGGGCTGTGCCCGGGAATGTGATAGGGTTTCGGCCAGGAGCTGGCCAGGATATCCGCTTGAGTTGGTGTGTAATTTTTCACTCTTATCGTTGACTTGTTTTTCCTGACTTTGCTTTGCTATTTGGGTTAAACTTTTGCTTGACCTTACCGAGTTGTCACTTCCGCTCAGGGTGGGCGTGGCGCGTGCCGTCGCCAGAACGAGGGCCATGCCCAGCAGCGTATAGAAAGTGAATGTTTGCATCTTGTTATTTTTGTTTTTTTCTTGTTGTTGTTTTTTTAGTTATCTTATTTTTGTTATCACTGTAGTCTCTGTTAGATTGTGCTTTTCATAAATGTCCTGGCACACACATATACACACTTAAACACACTAACACACACAAACAGAAACAGAAACAGAAACAACCCGGCAGCGTGTTGGCTTTTCCGTCTACGCTCTGCTCGACTGTGAACTCGACTGTTCTGCGGCTGCTGTTGACATCGTCGTCTTATAAGAAAACCTAATGCGAATTTTCCGCCAGCGATTTCGATTTTATATGAAAAACGGCCAAAAGCTACGCAAACACAATGCAGGCCGCAGTCAACGTCAGCGTCGACGTCGACGTCGATGTTTGTTTTTGCGGCGTCGACGTTCAATCAAACAAGTCCCAGGCTGTGTCTATGTGTATGTGTATGTGTGTGTGTGTGTGTCAGCAAAATGGCACTGAGACTTGTTCAGCCAGTTTAAGGAAATTCTGTGAAAAGCTGCGCGGCTGGCCTTGTCTTTGGCCCAAACACAGTTGGCCAATTGACTTTGTTTACGTTCTGCTCGCTATTGTTTTTGTTTTCTTTGCAACAAAGCGACTGAAAGTAAACAACAGACCCAATTCCCAACAACAAACACAACAATCTTCCCACAGACGCATCAACGATGCGCTATCGCATTTTTTAGGGGGCAGCTTCTTGTTGGTGGCATGTCAAAAGCGCGTCGCATGCAAACGTGAAAACTTTTTAGTTGCATCAATTAAGTGGCAGGTACTTTGGCAAACGTGTGATCGAGACTTTTGTCATAGATATTTGCTCATAGCTCAAAGGGGAAAGTGGAGCTCAGCTGGGATTACAAATACAGCAGCAGCTGCCTGGCTCAGAAAACCAAAACCAAAGCTGTGCTTACATATATCAGGTATGTAAAACCAAAAAGAATAGTCTGTGTTTATTTACATCCATAAGACGAGGTTTCGGTTCAAGTTTTGGAAAGTTATATATTTTACAAATTCGAATTATAAAAATAAAAATTCGAATTATAATAATAATAATAATAATAATAATAATAATAATAATAATAATAATAATAATAATGATAATAATAATAATAATAATAATAATAAAAATAATAATAATAATAATAATAATAATAATAATAATAATAATAATAATAGCAATATTAACAATAATAATAATAATAATAATAATAATAATAATAATAATAATAATAAAAATAATAATAATAATAATAATAATAAAAATAATAATAATAATAAAAATAATAATAATAATAATAATAATAATAATAATAATAATAATAATAATAATAATAATAATAATAATAATAATAATAATAATAATAATAATAATAATAATAATAACAATAATAATAATAACAATAATAACAATAATAATAATAATAACAATAATAATAATAATAACAATAATAACAATAATAATAATAATAATAATAATAATAATATTAATAATAATAATATTAATAATAATAATAATAATAATAATTCAATTTTATATTAATTTAATATATCTAATTGGTTGGGCCTCAATTTTGAAACAAACCATTTTTTAAACTAAATATAGTTCGGTTCGGTTTCGCATCAGTTGTTTATTGGAGCAATTGGTTTGGTCTGGGGCTCACTTCATATTTAAAAACTAAGTAAATTGAAATTCCCGGTTCAAATCGGTTAGCATATCATTTGATTATCGGAAGCTGGCCCACCTGGTGTGGCACTGACAGCAGCTGTTTTGTTTCCCAGCACATCACAATTTCAGGGCCAGCTTTTCACTCGCATTGGCATTTTCAATTTCACATTAGCTGGAAACACGCGACGCTTGCCTTGTTGCACATCAAAGTGGGGCATAATTTATTGCATTTGTGTTTGCCCTGGACCGGGGCTAGGGTTCGGTAATGATTCGTTTGACCGTGCACCCCACAAATTGAATCAATCTGACTGTCATGCACGGGCAAAGTTATTGCAAACACTGCAAATTGCCGGCAAGCAACAAGAGGAACGAGAAGAGGAACAACAACAAGGCGACCAAAGTAGGCTAACATGAGCCACAAAATGTGGCACGCCACGAAAGTGGCTGGCGCAGAAACCGCTACACGATCTGACCATAAACCGTTGCCTGTGCGTGGTCCCAAATCAAACCGCACCAAAATCAAAATACATTGCGTCCGCCCGAGCCAGTTAGCCGCCTCCCCCTCCCCACCCCCTTCAGCCAACTCCCCTTGACTGTCTGCCCCTGGCCATGGCCAAAGTCATAACAATTTCTCAAGTGCTGCCGCTGCCGCTTTCTTTCGGAAAATGTGGTCCAGTCGCCTGGTCTGACGCTGTCGTCGCCGTCGTCGCCGTCGCCTTGGCAGTGTTGTCACCAGGCCAGGCCAGGCCGGGCCAGGCCGGGCCAGGCCGGGCCAGGACGGACGGCGCTGCGGTTTTTGGAATTGACTTTGAGCTGCCAACACCAAGTCCCCCGGCCACGCCGTACGAGGTTCCATTCAGAAATACGTGGACAGCAGATAATTCAAAATAATTGGCTGAAGAGCCCAACTGATGAGTAAGCCAGAACTCACTTGATGATAAACAGACAGCGTAAATAATGCTGATTCCTATTTGCTTCATCAAAAGAAAGGAAAAAGAAAAAACTGAAACCTCGATACGGCCCTCGACTACAGCTCCTCGGCAAGCGTTATACTCACATTCACAATATTGCAGAAAACATATTTGAATAACATTCAATTATTTCTCTAAACATGAGACTTTATGAGACTTTCAAAAATCGATAATCGATTAAGTTAAATCGAAAGAATTTATTTCTCTTGGTAAATTTGCTTCAGCTACTTATTATATTATTATTAACTAAACAATATTAACTTTTTGCTTAAAGAGAAATAGTTCAATTTTCTTAAGTTTTAAAATTGCTTTTCTCTAATTTTTTATTAATTTTTTTTTAAAATAATTTTTAAAATTTTGTTTAATCGAACAAAAAAGGCCTAGGTAAATGCCGAAACGAATCAAGTTTCTATTAAAATGGTTTACTAAAAAAAAAAAACACTGCTTGTGATATTTGCAAATATAATTAGATAACATTAAATTGTATAGGAATATAATTTCCTTTCCAAAAGCAAGAATAATTTCTGAGGCCAATCTTTAGCTCTTAACAAAAAAAACTTGTGCACTCAACAAAATGATTTTACAATTTTAAGCAAGTCGCAAGCAAATAAAACTTCTTTAACAAAATTTAAGTAAAATATATCAATTAAAAAAAAAATATTTTTACAATTATGTTTGAGTATTTAAAAAAAAATAAATAAGTAGTCTCATGTTTAAATTTAAATGCTTTCAGTTTGTGCATTTCCATACCCAATTATATTAGCAGACCTGAAAGGCAGCATTGTATTGTATTCATAATTTGAAATTAGCAAAACAAACACTTATTTGTTGTATTTTAAATTAAACTGAACAAATTAAAATTTAAAACTCATTTAAAACGTGATGAGCCAAGGTACGCTGGGTCATCAACCCAATGCGGAAGCGCAGAGTGACATTAGTTCAAATACTGTTGTGTGTATTTGAAAACCTAAGCACATATTGTCTCAGAGGGGCTCGCTCTCAAAATGTAGGTTATCTCACAATTTCATTGGGACTCTGAGATTCCTGTTTCAACTCAATTATCAGTCAGTATGTTTGCTCTTTAAAAGACCTTCATTAAAGGAAATGTTGAGCCACCCCTTATTCTCTTTTTTATTATTGCCGAGTGGGAAATATTTGTAGCGACCCTCGTTAAAGAAAAGCAAGATTAAACACGCCAGGCCACTTTTCCTTTGCGCTGGCCGTCAATTTCTCGCCTCGGCGTTTCATTGCCTTAATTAAAAGCTGCATTTTATTTGTAGCAACTTCAAAGGCAGCCACAGCGAGGCGAAACACATTTGGAGAAACATTCAATAGTGAAATTTTCTACCGTTAATTAGCACACCCCTTCGATTAAAGAGCTGCCCCGCCCCGCCCCGTCGCCGCCCATTCCATCGCAGCCGCATCGTTTTTTTAAAGGCATTTGCTTTGAACTTAATATTGGACTTTTATTTACAGTGTAGCGTAATAAATATGCTTATAGGAATGCAATATGGCCAGGGCGCAAAATAAATAACAAAGACCTAACCTGACCTCGACCTGGACCGGGACTCGTCTGGACCGGAACCCTATCTAACTCTTCTGCTGCTGCGCCTGCGGCTCGGCGGCAATGTCCTTGCCGGTGTTGCGTCCGTAATAGCCATTGTATGCGCCCTCCTGGGCATCGCCAAAGCTGATGGAGTTGCCGCCCACCTGCTGAGCCTGGACCTGGCCGTCGGCCTGGTGGTAGCTCTTGCTGTAGTAGTCGCTGTAGGGTTTGGCAAACGATGGCTCCGGCCGATAGTAGGGACCGGGTGCGCCGCCGCCGCCATGGCCGCCCTCGAAGTGCTCATGATGATGGTAGTAGGTGGCAGCGCCCACGCCCTGGGGTGTGTACTCGGGGAAGGTGTTCTTGCTGCCGAAGAGGCCGGAGAGGCCGCCGCCGAAGGCGCCACCGACACCGCCGGGCGGACGGCAGAGCTTGAAGTAGG